TTAGTGTTAGATTGTATAGAGTATTAGATTGTATAGTTCAGTGTTAGTAGAATTTTGTGTGCATTTGACGGAAATAAAGAAGGACTGTTATATATTTGAATCTGTCTCCAATTCATTGTGTCTTGGAAAAAGGATTACCGTAGTCTGAAGTCGGTCAGTCTTTAGGCATACCTAGCCTACTGCCCTATTGGACTAGAAAAACAATAACACCTCCAGCAGATAGCCAACAACTCCGTTGCAACATGTAAAAAAGATATTGAACATGTAAAGATGATAATGAACATGTAAAGAAGATAATGAACATGTAAAGAGGATAATGAACATGTAAAGAAACTCACCGATTGTTAGGATATTCAGTCAAACTAGTGAATACAATAACGAGCTACCTTAAACAAATTAAAAACAATCCGTTCACAGTCCATATATTTCTAATTATAGTCCCATTGTACATCAACCGTAACGACACAGAATTACACGGGCAACTTGCTTTTGAAAAACAGTCGAAGCGTTTGACATTTTCCAGTCGTAGATATGTAGATTGTATTTTAACAGTCCATATATTTAATTGTAGTCCCATTGTACATCAACCGTAACTATAATAGTATACTGAGTAGAATAGTCCACAAAGGGACGCAAGATAACACCCCACTCGCCCCCACCAATGAATTGAAAGCTGTTCATTGAGGACGTCACACTAAATTTCAAGTTGAGTTATTTAGATGGACAGATATTATACTCTGTGAGTTCAATGTTAATATATATTTAATCTGACGCGAAGTTGTATTAAATTGAGTCACTATCTTGTTTACTTCGAGTTGCGACCAAAAATTGACAACAATTTAAATTATGTTTTGCGTATTCGGAAGGGGGGGTAGGCGGTATATATGACCGCCCTGATATGTGTCCACTACCAGGTTGAACATATACAAGGATGGACATATACAAGGAAGAACATACACCAGGTCGAACATATACCAGGTTGGCGAGAAAGCGAAGTAAAAGGCGAGGAAAAAGGCGAGAAAGCGATGAAAAAGGCGAGAAGGCGAGGAAAAGGGTGAGGCGGTATATATGACCGCCCTGATATGTGTCCACTACCAGGTTGAACATATACAAGGATGGACATATACAAGGAAGAACATACACCAGGTCGAACATATACCAGGTTGGCGAGAAAGCGAAGAAAAAGGCGAGGAAAAAGGCGAGAAAGCGATGAAAAAGGCGAGAAGGCGAGGAAAAGGGTGAGGCGGTATATATGACCGCCCTGATATGTGTCCACTACCAGGTTGAACATATACAAGGATGGACATATACAAGGAAGAACATACACCAGGTCGAACATATACCAGGTTGGCGAGAAAGCGAAGAAAAAGGCGAGGAAAAAGGCGAGAAAGCGATGAAAAAGGCGAGAAGGCGAGGAAAAGGGTGAGGCGGTATATATGACCGCCCTGATATGTGTCCACTACCAGGTTGAACATATACAAGGATGGACATATACAAGGAAGAACATACACCAGGTTGAACATATACCAGGTTGGCGAGAAAGCGAAGAAAAAGGCGAGGAAAAAGGCGAGAAAGCGATGGAAAAGGCGAGAAGGCGAGGAAAAGGGTGAGAAAGCGAGGAAAAAGGCCAGGAAAAAGACGAGGAAAAAGGCGAGAAAGCGAGAGTAAAAAAGGCGAGAAGTCGAGAAAGCAAAAATTTTCCTCGCTTTCTCGCCTTTTTCCTCGCCTTTTTCCTCGCTTTCTCGCCTTCTCGCCTTTTTCCTCGCTTTCTCGCCTCCTTGCCTTTTTTTCGCCTTTTTCTTTGCCTTTTTCCTCGCTCGAGTTTCCTCCCTTGCTCGTGGGCGAGATGTCGAGAGCAGATATGGTCGCATCCTTTTCATGATCCTTGAGCAATTGTATTACCACCTTCCCTACTGAATCCTTAATATGTTCATCTATGTGTATGTTCAACTTAGCTGTAGACATATATCAGGGCTGTCAAATACTAATTAACCCCATGTTGAAAACCCCTGATGTAAAGAAACTCACCTGTTGTATGATGTCCTGGTTTTTCAGTGTTTTTCCTTCAAGAGTTAAAAGAAAGCTTCTCATACAGGGCAATAATACATTCAAATGCTTAAAAAAATGATGATAATTGTGCATTCCAAGTAAAATGTTGATTTCGCATTATATTTCCATTGTAAATCGTCCGTAACAAGACAGGGTTACACGGGCAACTTGATTTTGTACAGCATTTCACGTTTCCACAATTTAATGTATTTTATGAACACGAGAAACTTTTGTTGTGCACTATGCCATAGTGTTGTATACTGTCCCCTTGTGTTGTGCACTGTCCCCTTGTGTTGTGCACTGTCCCCTTGTGTTGTACACTGTCCCCCTGTGCTGAGCACTGTCCCCTTATGTTGTGCACTGTCCCCTTGTGTTGTCCTATGTCCCCTTGTGCTGTACATTGTCCCCTTGTGTTGGGCACCGTCCCCTTGTGCTGAGCACTAGCCCTTGTATTGTACACTGCCCCATTGTGTTGTGCACTGTCCCCTTGTGTTGTACACTGTCCCATTGTGCTGAGCACTGTCCTTTTAGGTTGTGCACTGCCCCCTTGTGTTGTGCACTGTCCCCTTGTGCTGTACACTGTCCCTCTGTGCTGAGCACTGTCCCCTTGTGTTGTGCACTGTCCCCTTGTGCTAAGCACTGGCCCTTTGTATTGTACACTGTCCCATTGTGTTGTGCACTGTCCCTTTGTTTTGTGCACTGTCCCGTGTGCTGTGCACTGTCCCCTTGTGTTATGCACTAGCCCTTGTATTGTATACTGCCCCATTGTGTTGTGCAATGTAGAAACGGGATGTTGAATTGTTACTCATTAAGTTGGCAACCAGGTTTACCACACCACTATCTATCTACAGGCTTGAAACCAGCGAAATCCTCCTTTAATTCCTTCCATTGGCCAATTTTGAGAATAATGCCCCAGTACCCCCCGGGACTATCGGCAATATCCTTGTCAAAACAAAGGGGTTACTGAAAAAGATATTTTGGAGATGAAAAACTTAATAAGGGCGCCTTTGACTCTGCTGGATTTTCATTATGAATGATTCGGGATATTTCAATAAATGACGTCATGGCAGTAAGTCCCGGATGTTATGTTTGATCAAGAGATATGCGCATGCGTTGTGTTGGTTCCTGGATCAAAATACAGCGTGGAACAAATAGAAGAATTCTGCAGGAATAGTTTTGTTCCCAGAGATCTAGAACATGTACCTGTATGTCCAAGATATTTTATTTTAATGGACAAGATTCCTGTACACGAATCGGAATATAAAACCGGATAGAATGGCCACGGAGAAATACGCTAAACATTATTTAAATCTATAAACCTAACCTATATTCTTGTGTTATAGTTGTTAGCTTAATAAATATTAATAAATATTACAAGATTTCTTGTATCATGGAATGCAGCGATGTTATTAGATTGTACACTAGCGCATACAGCGCATACAGCGCATACAGCGCATCAGAGACCTCGATAGAAAGCTGCAAAAATTACCTTTGTTGACTTTCCCATGGCTGCATTTACAAACTTCTATGATATGACAAAGTTGGCTTTTGCAGT